TTCGGGACGCTTGCCGGTCCGGCATCAAGACGACATCCGATTGGTCGAAAGTCTGGACCCAACAGCCAATCATGACCCAGTATTGGCCAAATGCCGGTTGCCAATGCCGCATCCAGAACGCGTCAGAAGTTCCAGAAAGTTATAACCGCTTACACTATATATATGAAGCGCTGTACAACTGTTCCTGACTTCGTTTGGGGCCCTAATATACCTTGTGTACCTTTGGTGGTTGTTTTTGACGTGAACGCTAGCTTGGGAAGCTCAGACCGAGAACTAAGCTGAGAGAAATACCGTTACTACAGCTTTTGAAGACGACAGTAGGGGGGGGGCCTTCACACATGGGATGAAGGTGAAAGCCCGTCAGAGTAGCCAACTGCGCAAGGGGGTGCGAGTGGAAAATATGTCAGTAGTGTGAAGAGGTTTGGTCAATTTCAATTTCAACTGAGTCCTGTCAGTGAAGCGTATCTGTGCTGAAGATCGACAAACACCGTGCAGCTGTTTCGTCCTTCTTGCGAATCATCAGCAATGCGTGTTTAACGACAATTCAGTGAGTACAGAAACCATAACCTTTCGGTCAGTGGTTGAACACTTAACTGTTTGGCCAAGAGCGGCTGAACAGCGGTGATTAGCTCTCACGTAGACAGATTTGGCACCGCTCATCCTACAATCACGGAAACCACATCAAGGAGCCATGTAGTGATTGACTCCGCGAGTGACGACTTCCCGAATGGAAGCTTCGCCCAAATTTTGGATTAATTCTTTCCCTGAGTCACTTATGGAATGCTTGTAGAGGGAGATTTCGTACTGAAAATGTCTGATATCCGGAATATTTGTATGAAACCTGTGGTAGATGACAAAAAATGAACTTACTACGCAGTCCCAAGAATGAGTTGGCAGGTGAGTGTGTGTGTCAGTTATTCAAAGTTAACTATTTTGACTTTGCATTCTTAGTTGGGCGACATTTCTATAACTCAATTCACCCACTTTTTAAGTCGTCATCGGGAGACGCCGAATTCATTTGAACACACTGATTGTGTGAGATGGAAGTCAACCCTCGCTAAAATGGGCTTTGACTTGAGTTTAACAGACTAATAGGAAGTTTTACCTCCACGCAGACTGCATGGTCCGAAAACTATCTACGGAATGACTGTTTTTTTTGCCATTGTCTTTGAACTAATTTGAAAAGTCGTTCACCTCTGAATGACAAGTATATGTTTTGATGAGATAACAATTGATATACACCCAACGCATTGTTTCAGCATTTCCCCGGTTTAACTAAATGAGATCTTTCAGCTGTAGCACCCTTTCGATGCCTAACTACAATGCAACCCGAAGGTTGCACGAGGGCTGAGATACTGCCAGGTTGCCCAAGCCTAGACAAGGGAAGTCAAGAGGCAGAGATCGGACCTTCCGGTCAGTAAATTCGCGCTATAACCACTAGGGCGATCTTGCCCCCCACCCCAGCTTAACAAAATAGATGTACATGAATCCACCTCCAAGTGCAAGTTAGTCGCATTGTTTATCAAGGAGACACAGCTTAATGGCAATCAATAAATAAACCAGGGGATAGGGGCAGGTGGTGATACTTGATACAAGTAAGACAGCAGCCAGTACTCCTGGGGATTTCAGAAAAGGTGAGCAACTCTTGCCGTGGGAAATTTACGGCTAAAAAGCACCATGAATTGTCTTGAGTGGTCCGCGAAGAACAGGAAACTGCGGGATGATGTTTAAACGAGGGTGTGCCAAATTATCTTAACTACTTTTCAGTGACCAGTAGTTAAAACAATATGGAAAAATAATTTAGATAGGATCAACAGCCAACAATTTAGGTACACTTTGGTGTCGATCGGCGTGTCTGGAGTGAAACTAAAGAGACAAACGTTACATAAACATCGAAGATGTCCAGAAACATAAACTTCATACCTGGAATCCCATCTGCCTCGCTTGAGACCATAACCGCATTTGAAACCAATGTGGTGCCCAGGTCCAGTTGGCATAAGCACAATCTCCGGCTGCGTATACGTCAGGAACACTTGTTTCCATTTGATCATTGACCAACACACCACCCCCGGAGACTGAAGGAGGAGCCAGATCGAACTGTGCGCCAAAGTACTCCGAACTTTTGGCTTCAAAGGAAGTACGCGATGGTTGAAAGCTCGCTTCCACACCGACAGCACTGACTACAAGGTCACATCCGTAAGCCTCACCATTGGTTAGCAAAACATAGACCGGCCAAGACTCACTGTCCTCTGGTATTGAGGATGACGAGGAATTTCGAGGGAACGGTTCTGTCGTTGGACCACCGTGGGCTTTGAATTCTGCAGCACTCAGGACAGATTCGATTCGCACGTTGTATACAACCTACGGCGGAAAAGTGAGTTGCTAGTATAAGTGGCAACAAGGGTACTTAAGGAAGAGAAGATCCCGACAGAGTTCTGCGCAGAATCCTGTACTCTACACCCTCTCTAAATGAGCATGTTTTGATCTCAAAAAAACTATTTATGGCTTCAACCTAACCGGGATGATGTCGCCTCACAAACGTGCAAACTTAAAAGCAAAGAGAATGATGGCTATTCGGACAATCGAAGGAGAGTAAACTCAAAGCAATGCTTTGGGTCTTTTTAAGTGCATAACGTTTACTTGGGACCACTGATAAGAAATCAGTCGACAAATTCCCACCGTTTTGACGCTGCACTCGAAGAAACACCATCATTTGTCTTCCTCAAATACTTCATGATCAATGAAGAGAGCTCAAAATTAATCACAGTAGCGACAGATTGTGGGCTGTAAAGAGAATACCGGTTTCCTTCACCTACCTAGTTCAACAAGTCGTGCGATGACACCGTCTCCAAAATGCAACGACGGCATTGAGGAAACGACCACAGCGATCTTGGGAACTTATGGCCCAGGATACTCCAGATAAGCACAAGACTTTCCAGCGTATGAGGGGAAATGTCCAATAAAGAGCACTTAGTTCATGTAAACCTCCCCCGACGAACGATGTTTATGAGTATGACAACATCTGATAAAGGGGTGACCGACTGAAGAGTTCAAGAGGGTTCAAGGACACGGCTTTCCAATGGAAAATACTGCAGGAAAGCGTAAACACATGACAGAAAGAAAGTACGAATTCCAAGGGCGCCAGTCTAAACATAGATACGGAACTGAACACAATATTTCAAGTGCTATTCGAAAATGAAATGCCTTTAGACACGTACAATGCAGGCCGTAATATACGATTAAGCAACAAGGTGAGTAACACGTTGTAACGTACGACCGTCACATGTCACAAAAGTGGAGTTAAGGTCACTAAAACAATCTACAACTTCCCGAGTAATCTCGGTGTTTTGTTTCGAAATGAAGGTTACGCAACGTACGCGAAAGCTAATCCGTCGTAGGTGAAGAGTGTCACGGAAATGAGATAAAGAAGGCCGCAAAATTATCTACCCTAGGAGAGCTTTTTTAATCTGAACAAAAGCGTTGGAATCGGCCTAAGCTGTTAGATGCAGAGGACTTAAAAAACTACAGAAAAGTACCAGGAAGTAGGCACGTGACGCGTATGTCTCAGTTGAAAAAAGAACCGAGAAATTCGAAAGGCAAGGGGTGACATTGAACCAATCAGTTATCTACCACAAAAAGCATGCGAATATTAAGAAAGCCATACATATAGTCTTCAAAACGTACTAATATTGAATGCGACCTATTTACATCAGTCACCATTCGGTCCTGCTTAATTTGTGTTGAACCTGTGAAAAATAAGTTTTCATCTTTCAGAGGACAACAGGCACGTAGAATCCATAGTGGTTCACCCACTGCCTAGATCTCCCCACAAAATAAAAACAGACATGTGTGAAGTGGGATTGAATTTCAATTACTGCATATCCGCCGAGTAACAGTCACGTCCGTTCACCTGAACCCGTTGGAATGACGGTCTCAGAACATTGAAGAGAGAGCAGGATGGGCTCGTCACAACATATCTTGGTGAATAGCCTGTCGAGCAGCAGATTGTGGTGTATCAAGGCCAGTTAGAGCTTGCGGTAGCTCATGAAAACACCGGCCATAAGGCTCGTGGATCAGACCCAACCCTAACGTTTCGACTGCTCCTGACTAGTCTTTGACAACCTGGCAGTATCCCATCCAGTATCCTTCCAAAATGCACGATAGTTATTGACCGAAAGGTGCTACGCCTGGACCACTGCAAGCAAATCAACTTGGCACACTGCGTCAGTTACATGTGGGCGAGTATGCGTCATGAAAGTATTCGTTGGTGGGCAAAAGAATGCTAGACAACTGGGTAACATTGACGGACAGCGGTTAGATTGGGCAGCACATACAAATCAGGGGAACGTTACAAACTGTTGTCACGAGGATTTGGAACACTTACAAACCAAAAAGGGGGCTTTTAGTTATCATATTCAAGAAGCAAATGTCATTTGCAGTTTCAAATCCTGAATATGTGGATTTGAGGAAGGTGTTAGGACAAAAACCACAGCTTTTCTACTTTGTTCACTCGAGAGCTACGATGCTTTCTTCAATTCGTTTCAATTTGTTCATCAAATAGCACGTTCCCGAGGCCTTATCCTACCCAAATGAATGCGGCTACCTCGAAAGAGATCTAAACTGTTCAGTGTTGGATGAACACCTTGGGCACTGAGAAGTACCCAGTGGGTTGAAGACTTTGGACAAATAGCTAGCTGCGCGTTTTATATGACCTTTTCATTAAGATCGTGGCGCCACACAATATTCCTTTGGAAACCACAGCCCATGGGGCACACCAAGACGGAGTTATTATGTGCTGTATTGGGTTCTTGTCATTCCTCCTGACTGCACTTTCCACTGAAGGCCTTATCCGTTCACATAGTGCGCTGAATGAGCGGATGAAAAAACAAGGGAATAAGCCAACAGCCCCAACAGGGTGGGTGGGAATGGCGAATCCAATCAAGCCCCCAGATTTTTGTGCCGCTGTGTTCTCGGATGATAACGATATCACCGGTACCAATGTCCATACCTGGTACGACAATAAAATAAAACGATGCCAAGGGGAGGAAAAGTTCTTAATTCTCACAGCCATCGTACAACTTAAGATGGGACATCCTGAACCACTGACTAACCTGACTGAGTCGATGGATGTTGAGTGTTCTAGCGGAATAACTTTGTTTTGAACATTTTTTTCCTAGGTATCCCCCATCAACCGACGCCTGTCGGATTGAGTTCGGCATCTTCATGAAAAACTGATCGGATTCACGATCGACATCAGCAAGACAAAAACCTTCGCCAAAAGGACAGTCCTTCGCATAGACGATAAGCGAGAGATAGCTGAGTCGTTGAGGGGCGTACTTACTGACCGAACCCAAGCCTTGTATCTCGATTGCTCCTGTCTAGGCTTGGGAAACCAGGCGTTAGCCCAGTCCTCCTGATTCTTTCGGGGAGCACTGCAGCCATGCATCTAAAGAATGCTACAGCTGAACCATTATTTCTACCAGTATCTTATAGATGATGATATGGAACGCCTCATTGGATTTCGATACTTTGGTTCTGTCATATTATCTGACGAGAGTCGACACGGCAGAACACACGTTCATACAGCTTATGATGGAGGTAGCTGGCGAACAAAGACATTCAATGCAGCAATATGCCCAGTCCTTGCTTGCCCTTGTGAAACTTCTGCGTACAAGACAACCATAAACCCGAGGTTTTTAGACAATAGTGCCAACGGTATATTCAGCTCCGAAAATATTCAACCTGATGATCAGAGGATGCTCATCAAGTGTCCCACGTCTCAGGCAACTACTGCAACGGTCACATAGCCCGAAAATCCAGAAGCGAGCTTGGGAAACTTGCGCTGGCCCTTTCAAAAAATGCCCGTCGGGGCACCGCAGTCTTGAGTGCATCTGAGGACCTAGATCGGCCAATTCAGGCCGGATTTAGAGGGGCTCAGTCTAAACCTAGCATAGAATATTCGTCGCTGAAATCGGAACTCTAACTCAGTGTGTGTTCACCAAGCCTGTAACCGCAAAAGTGTGAGGCATCTGGGAATCCGACTCAGGGAATGGTCATCGTTGAAAAACAAAGCAAGTAATCTTGTTGGATTGTTTTCTGAGGTTGTCATTTGTTAGAAAATATAAAACAATCAAACTATTTCTCCAGTCGGACGAATAACCAAATAGTGTGTGACAAATGTTCACCTCATGTCAGAGAAGAACAATCTCTCTATGCATTTGTTCATTCAAAATGCTCTCAGTCACTCTTCAGGAGGCGTCACTTGTGCCACGTGAGGCACGTCGATGACACTGTAACAACCAAAGAACGCGGTAACGAGTGCACTTTCCTCTAGCTGAACCGACGTATCAAGCCTACAACATATTCGAACAACTAGCGCTCCACGAGTAAACATTGTTCATCTGTGCACGCGTGTTAAAGATGAGCAATGCACTTTCCTGAGAATAGAGCGAAATCAAAAAATAGTACAAGGTGCACATTTTCAGCCTCCCTTTTGAACATACGCAATACAGTTACGAAGCTGTCCCCCAGATTGTAATAATCTAATGTACCGAGCCAAGAAAAGTTTCGAGAGCCTTAGGTGCTCTCAAGTAAGGTGCATGCCTGAAGGATCGGGCAACGGAATCAGTCTATACCTCTTACGTGACATGATGATGTGAAACGAAGTCCACTTGAATGACGGGCCTCGTCATTCTGGCAGATGATAGGAAAGTCTAAATTTGCAAAGTCCATGATCACCGTGTAGATAAAGAGCAGATGAACAACATTCATGTCTGGTCAGTGCACACTTTCAGATCAAGCTTCTATAATGGGTTACATGGGGACCATCGGTCATGGACTAAGCTGGAATGTGTGGTATTCAGTTGTCGGTGGATAGTTTCCATTTCGATTGTCATCCCTCCAAGGCACGTAACACGATTTCAATTATCCCATTATATGGGTACACATAGCAGTTTGTTCTTCCATAAGATCATCAGGGCCATTAAATGGAAAATCCCCAACAGAAATAAGTGGTCACACAATTCTGGGTCGAAATGTCCTGGAAACGCAAATTCACGATGGCAGAAAGAAACAACATATCTCCAATCGGTCAACCAACATAAAGGACATCATCCTCACCGCCCCCCGCACCTCCAGCGAGTCGAGACCACAAGGAATGGATGAGGAACGTTGACGTTGGACAATCCACGGAAGAAGTCTATCTTTGTAGGTCATCCTTGGGAAGTTAATGCACGACGGTCTCTTCGGGAATTCTTCAGGGATAATATGAGAACGCAGGTCTATGAGTGTGCTCTTTCAAGATGAACTATACGGTGAAACCCTTCAATGAAGGGTCTACGGATTACGTAGACCAAACTCGGCACCGAAGATTTGCAGGTGCCCATGGTAATCTCAATAGAAAATCAGAAGAACATCCCGTTGTCATGCCATTTGTCGCGAACCTATCCCGTCTCTACCATCAACCACCAGCCGAACTAGAAATACTGTTTGCTCACAAAGTAGAGCTAACGAATAGGTTCCATACAGTACGATCCATCGAGCAGAAAAAATGGCAGGTCGGTACTTTGTTACTTCAAGCATGGTGACTAAATGTACCACATGGATGGACCGGGATAGATCAAATTGTAAAAGTAAGTCGAAGAGAGAGATCAACGTGGCTATCAACAATTTGGATCTTTAGCAAACAAACAAACAAAAGCTATTGTAGAAATGGCCCAAGAAAACATATTTACAATCTTTAATTGGAGAACGATTGCCTCTTATGACTATCGGAGAATCATCACCAACATCACCGATTGCATAGCGTTCAACATTGATGCTTCGCTGTTGTACGATCACACTTTAGTTGCACTCTTATTGTGGAAGTGAGCCAGAGGCGGTCAGCGAAGTATAAAAGCCATTACCGGCAAACTCGGGTGCGCTGGTCATTGCCGTCTTCCTGGATGGGGAACCCGAGACGGGCCATATCAATGGTTAGAGACATTGTCAGACATGGCCCAGTCGCGCCCTCAATGACGCTAATGCATCCGGCCAATCGCCTTCAATGCATAGCTCCCTTCCCAATCCCCCCTCTTAACAATCCACCTACAGTGCTGTATTTATGCATTAATTTATCAGCTCCCGCCTCCAATGCGCAGCTACCTACCCAACCTCCACGAATAATCGGTGAACGAAACTGTAGCAGCTACAACCACTGTACGACAAGTACGCGGTTATTACAGCTGAGAATGATGATGATGATACAATCTTATTGTTCAGATGAGCATAAAGGTTGATGGAGGCTTAGTGATCGTCTAACACAATCATTTCGAAGTACCTACACCTCCAGATACTCACTCAGACAATCTAGATAGAAAATGTCACATCTTGCATAATCGCAATCACATACACCCCATTCTGGAAGGTGATTAGCACCCACACTTTCTGTAATCTCTTTTTTAAGCCACTTTGTCCGATCAAGGGTGAGGAGCGTTCCGCTTCCAACACCCTGAATAGGTACGGAAAACAGCACTCTTTTCGGCAAACGATGGATTCATCGAAACCCGACTACATCACCTAAGGTTCTGAGATAACGATTGTCGAAGCCTTCAGCATGTCTAAGTGCCGGTGCTCCCAGAGGCAACGTCTCACAGTCATTTAAAAACAAAACAGCCCGTACTGTAGGATGATACGCATGTCCCTTGAGATGTGAAGACATACGGCCATAGGTGTCTCAAAGTAGCACACACAAAACGATACTTGGGAACTGGTGTATGGAACTCGTCTGTCACACTACAATCAGAACTAAAACAACTTCGAAGGTCGGAGAATGATAAAAGCGAATGTTGACAACAATGGTGAGCATTTTAGCTACCACTCAAACAATGTTGACATCACTTTCATCAATCATTTTTAAATCAAGCGGATTTGCGGATGCAGTGGGTGTCGAAAGAATGAGTTTGCATAACAGCTACCAAAAAAGTTCAAAAAGCCGCTTCGCGACTTCAGAAATCAATGCAAATCTCATTATTTCTCCGACTCTGATCACATAATCAGTCTACACAATTTCCGGTATACATGAGGAAGCCCCCAGTGCAGGGACAGACCACATCTAAGGAAAATCGCTTAGTGAGAGATCGCTCCGTCATTTGGAAGGCATGTGATTTGATTAACACTTTCACTCACTCGCAAAAGGCGGTTGTCATTGTTCCCCGACAAGCAACCACGTAACGTTCGCCCATGAGCCCAATCAGGACCCAATGCTGCTCCAAATGTGGTTGGTGGGTTTGCCTGGGCGGATTCGTTCCCCTCACGTGTCGCTGGGACCAGAACCAATTCTTGTTGTTGCGCGTTCCTGTCATCCACAACATACCGCATGCGACGAATTTGAACGGCGCCGAGACCATCACCAGCTTTTGAAGGGCCATCACTCGGTTCCGGTGAGCCTTCAGATGATCGCGCCAATTCACGTGCACAGAGGAGAAATTTGGCAGCTGCTGGATCCAAAAATGGTGTACTTATACTGTTATCTTTTATAGCCCATACGATCTGACATCCGGTCACTTCATGGGCTATTTCTGTTGCGATACCACCATTACCAACTAACACCATTCGACGAGTATCTGAAACAAAGAGACAATGACCAATAAGCTAGTAGTGTCACGCGAATTTATGGGGTTCCACGACATAAAAATGATCACATACAGCTGGAGATAAACTCACCACATTGCCCAATTGGGCAAAAAGGATCCGTGTTCTCCGTACCTTGGCCAAGTTCGACAATGACATATACGATCAGTTTCTTGTTGGACGCACGGTACTTCTAGGTACGGAAATGGCTTACTGACTTAACTACGATTGTAACAGGACGACATCAAAGAATATACGAACAACGTAGTCCAGTTTTTGTTAAGTTTGTTTACTGCTCTTCCAATCCATCACCTGCGTGAAAACAGAGTACCCGATTGGTGGAGCCTTGCACGTCAGGTGCACACACTAGATAGCACCCTCTGCCGCTCTGAATGTGAGCTTTCTAAACCAAGTCGATAGTAGCATTCATTCACATTGGGCAGTTAAGCAACCGTTTTACAAATCTATCAAAATCACGCTCTGTGATAAACTCAAGAGCTGTATTGGTGTGAGTGATCCAGGAATATTGTGGCACACGGCTGTTCAACGTAGCTCATCCAAAAAAGCCAAACCGTAGTGAGTGCACACAAAGCTTTGTTGTTCGGTCTCACCGGTACTCCATGGGTACTCGCTTACTTAGATTATTGAGGCGGACTCTTGTCGAGAGACAAACCGGCACAAGGGATATGAAGCTACACATGCCCGTAGATATGCAGGACCATCTTCACAGATGGCGACCCAGTTGGACAACGCGCATGGACTGCAGGCGAAGATGAAAGATGTCGGATTTGATTGGGAACAATCAGACATCCAACTCCTAGTCTTGGAAACAACGCCAACCCGACGAGGGTACATGTTGAGGACATGCTTCATAGGCCAACCATTCTATTTGCGAGGTACGTGCCCGAACCATTGCAGTTGATATGTATTGTAACGGTTTTTACACACCACAAGAATGTTTCCTGTCTACAAAATTGGAGACCCGATGGACAGATGTTGTACTGGATGATAAAATAAGCATCGTCTTAAAGCAACACGGCATTTTGCAATCAAAGCAAACATAATGAGGTCTTTTTGGAGACGAAAGTATTATCTAAAAACAAACCTCGTAAACGTGTTTGGAACGCAGCCAAACTCTCCGTATCCCGTAGGCCAATAACGAAAGGGTTCTCTTTCGCAATCAAACGAGGAACTGCCCCAGTGGTTAGACACAAACGCCCGTAGCGGATTGGACTGTCAGGACCTCGCTCTTCAAGATAGATGAGGTGTGCAGTTGGGCTGTGATAAGCGGCAAGTTTGAAAACAAGTGGAAGAAAGAATAACATCACAGTGTCACGCACACAATTAGTTACCATAGATTTGGGCAGCACAGATAGAACTGGTGGCAACACAGTTCCAATGTTTTTTAATACTATTCAATAATCAATCAAGCTATTCGAACGTACTACTCATCAACAATGAAGGTCGATGAAAAAGCAGTGGTGGAATGGAGCGAAATCATTTAAACTCCGCAGCCTGGATACAAAGTGGATAAAAATAGCCTTTGGGGGCATCTGAGAGCCAAGTCCACAGCAAGTTCAAGGTCACACCGTCGTCCTAAGAATTAATTTTCTTCATCTCGTCATTGTAGTTCGCCGTTTGTCTGCCCCGTACTACGCCCCACGAAACTGAACAAAGGAAATAGGGGTCTTCTCAGCAAACAATGGTTTGGACGCACAGCAAGTGAAGCCAATGATGCTTTTGACGACTCAACTCACGGTTCTGCGAAAACTGTCATCAAAAGCTTCAAGGGCTTCAAACCTTCTACCTAGGAAGACTGAGTCTCCTTGCTATACAATAAAAACTATTTATACTTAAGCTCTGGAGGAAACCCGTAGAAGTAGTGGCGCCACTGGTGACGTACTCGAGTAAAGAATGCGGACGGCGGTATGCGTGATCTCATCAATCAAGCTTATCTGAACTAATAAAGATCCCCAGATTGAAAGAGGGCTGTGCAACCCCGGATTCCTCAATATGACTGGAAAGGACATCTCTAAATGAGGAATGCACTGCATTAAAGTGCACGAACAGAGGTAGAATGACGGTGTTGACCGGCAGGATGAAGCCCAAGGTGATTTCATTCCAAGGCGCAAACTCCCTTCGTAGTAAACATACCAATGAAAGGAAGAAGGCCTTCGCCGCGAAGTATTTATTACAAAATGCCAACTGATAAGTTACAGACTATCGAATAGAGAAGCAAAACTCTCGTATGTATCTTGTTTACAAAAACTGAACATCCATCTTCCCTTGAACATACTACTCGCATGCCTCCCCCATCAGTAGTATCACCGTTACACCAGGAGGGATGACATCCACATGAATTATCCATGCTTAATGTCACCTACACAACTTCAAGAGCTACTTCAAGAGCATAGGACTGCAAATTTTCCCGACAATATTGAGTCATAGTCTATTCGGTGTGAGATGTTTTTGGTGGACTTCAGCACGAGTAGAATCTCCCTTCCAAGCTGAGAGTCTTTTCCCGTTAACTCGTTGAAAATCTGCTACTTACATGGATTATCAGCACGTCCAAAACACAAACTGTAACAAAGGAAACAAGGAAACCGGGATCACGAAGCTGGAGAATATCAGTCGGAGGCTGTCAGGGCGCGCCCAGACAGAAGTAAAAACACACGTGCAGAGAGTGACGCATCCCCAAGGTCACCATCGGTACGACGCGTCCGGAAAGTAGGTGATTTGGCGGCTCCCACCTAACATGGCTTAGCAACACACGACCAGCGTACTGGGCCTGAGACCGTTCACGACCGAACCACCATCATTGGCTGTACGGAGCGAACAGGTGAACGACCATATTTGGCCAAGTAGTCATCCTATATATTTACGCAGACGCTCTGTACATTTTGTCCTGGCAATACAGCCGTGTCCGCAGTTCTCTGTCTTCTCCCTATCGCATAGTCTGACAGACGCAGTGCAGGCGTAACCCCATAGCTCGGCCACCGCACAACACAACAGAGGCGAGTTGGACCAAGTGGTTAGAGCGCGAATTCACTGACCTGAAGGTCCGCGGTTCAAACCCGAACTCTGCCTCTCGACTTGCCCTGTCTGGGCTTGGGCGACCCGGTAGTATCCCAGCCCTCGTGCCTCCTTCGTCTAGCACGGCAGCTAGGCGCCGAAATAGTGCTACAGCTGACATCCCTTTCCAATCGACTATCAAATTCTTGGTATAGGTTACTTATTTCGAAAATTCCAGCGTACACTGCCGTGGGTGCAACCACCGACTGGTACCAGATGCGGAGTAACTAAATCAACCGAAAAGAAGCTGTGCTTTCTCAAAAGCATCACCTGAGACAAAGTAAGCAACAACATAACTTGGGTGAGGTCTCGCATTGGGGAACCAATCGGTTTGATGGGCCAACGGCTTGTGCCGTTCTGAGTCACCTCCTAGTGCGGCCATACGGCGAAGGAAGAGAAATTGATCACGTGTGGTGGTGTTCGGACACCACCAATTCAAGTCGAACAAATCCACTTGCAATGCACTCAGTCTATCGCCACAACACCCTCCTAATGATACCTCTGGCAATACCTCTGGCAATAGTAACAATATTAATATTAATATTAATAAAAATTCGGCCGTAACATCCTTCAGTGTCTAGCTGCCATGCCACCCAAGCCCAGATAGGAGCAGTCCAAATGCTGGAGTTGGGTTCGAATCACGGACTTTACCGTCAATGGGATCTCGCCTTAACCACAGGGCCATCTCGAGCTCACGAGGAGAGAAAATTCACTATCAAAGGCCACCTCCAGAAAACCTAAAGTAATCAGATTTTTTGAAGGCATTCCGTTCCAACGAGAACCAGCACTACTTCAGAATTCGCTGGGTTCGCTGACTTGCTTTCCGCCTGCTATGTCCAAGAATCACCTTTGTGACGGGTGATGGCAACTCTTGTATAAAATAATTGTGAAGCCCCAGAAACCAATATACAATACTTGAGAAATACACTCATTTGCAAATCCATTTGGTTTTCACGAGAGACTCAATTGAATCTCCTGCTTATGATATTCTACAACTGAATGTGCTGCACACAGGCCGCCTCATGATTCAGTTGACACGATATTCGAGATATCGCAGTATATTTCCATAAGGGAAGCTACTCACAAGGCTGCTGAAAAATCTTCGACAGCTCACGACGGGTTTCGCCCTTCTTGGGGCTCATCAGTTAGACGCAGTCCCTGAGTTTCCGTCAATCTTATGTTCTACTTGAACCAAAATTGGACTGTTTTCGAGAAATACACTCATTGGCAAATCAATTTGGTCTTCACGAGAGACTCAACTGAATCTCTCTTTTACAAGGTTGACGGAAACTCAGGGACTGTGCCCACCTGATGAGCTCCAAGAAGAGTGTGGGTCGTGGGCTATCGACGAGTTTTCAGCAACTTTGTGAGTAGTTTCCTTTACGAAAATACAATACTTGTCTTTGCTACACTTAGGCTACACTTAGTAATTTATGCCATTAACTCGTGACCTGCATCCGCAAAATGGTAAACTGTCTATACAAAACAGCCATCGCAGTAAATCAGGGGTGATGCGTAAAAGTTGGCAAAAGCACGTGATGTTAGGCTTGCGGACCCGACCAAGCCAAACAGGTAGAGAGTGTACGATCGCACTTCATCAGCGTTCGAAAAACAGCCAATATCCGTCCGCTGATGTCTTCTCCTAAACAGCAACTTGCACATAACAGTTATATCGACATTTTAGCGCAAACGTACGTACAGTTCACGTTATTTTCTGTTTTACTATCGGTCTTCAAATCTACTGGAAATACTAGAGAAAAATATTGGCACAAAGACTTTATGTGTTTTGATTGAGGTACGCGATAAATGGTCGTTCAGTAAACGGTGACCGCAAACTATAGAAAAACGAATCTCATTGGACTCTAGAACAAACTCATAATCAACAAGACGGCAGTTTGGGTCGGTAAATCACCGCCTCCATTCTCTCATCGAAACCCACACAGTATCCTGCCTCTAGAGTAGAGTGCACCAAGGGGCTGAAAATCACGTACATAGGATGTAAAATGAGATGGTTTGGAACGGTTACCAACAGGCTGACTAAATTCACACGCAACCGAATCTGCCATTGTGCTCTTTCCTGGAACGGAATGTCAACCATTAGCATCTCAAAAGTTGGGTGAAAAGTATGTGGTCCTTAAGATTGCGGCGATCATAAGAAGTAACCCATCTACAACAGCCAGCACCATCATCTACACATTTCAGCCAACACGTCAGGATACTTGTGCGTTGCTTGACAAGCCGTGAAACATCCCTTAGGTGTCTAGCTTCCATGCCACCCAAAGGAAGAACAAGGTTAGCGAATACACAGGGTTGCTCAAGCCCAGTCAGGGGAGGTCGAAAAAAAGAGGGTAGGTTCGAACCACGGACCATCCGGTCAGTAACGCTCTAACCACTTAACCGGGGACTGCGCCTACCTGATGAGCCCCAAAAAGGGCGAAACCGGTCGTGGGCTGTCGACGGATTTTCAGCAACCTTATGAGTAGTACATTACAAAGAAGAACAAGGTTGCTCAATCCTAGACAGGGGAAGTCGGGGGACAGAGGTCGGGTTCGAATCACGGACCCTCCAGTCAGCAAATTGACAAGCAATACCACCATTTAGTTGTTCAACAGCCGCCGTCAGGCGCATGTGTCTGGAAAACACGTACACGGATCAAAAAGGCCACGTTTCACATTCGTTTGACGTCCACTCAGATTGCGAAAACATCACGCTCGCTAAGGACCTTGACGTAGGCTTGGGTGAAGAAAACAGCCCACCAACTTTAGCAAACAAGAACTAAAGCGATTACAAGCCGTTAGACATGACAGTAAACATCTCGTCCGCAGAGAGTTTTTGAAAAGTGAGCATTCTCAAGTGTCATCTTGAAATTTCTTGGAAGTTCACTGAATATTGAACAATAATGAACGAACACTGCAGAACCGCTCCATAAGTTTCGTAGTAATGTTCACCTTCCATCAAATGAAGTGGGCAGCTTGGAAACCAGACCACAGGCTACTCGCACGCCTAATCAGTAATATACAACGGCAACACGCTTGTCTCCGGAGCAGATAGAGGAAGAAAGAAGGAGAGCTCGAGAAAACTTGACCACCGTTCTAGAAAGGACTAGTCAGAAAACGGCAGGTAGAAAGGCACGAACAATCCCCATAGGCACGAAGGTCAAGTGGAAGGATCACCAGAATCCTGGAAGGAGTGGACTGGGGTGGCGGAAGCTGGGCAGTCGATGGCAAGGGCCGTTTGTCGTCACCGACCGCCGGGGGAACGTCTATACCATTCA